GCTACGCTTCTGTAAATATGCAACATGGCACTATATTGCTAATGCAGCCAACTGCTCAAAAACACCACGAAAAATAGCTTTTTCATTTGCGGCTTAGGTCGTACAAAAAATGCATTGTGCTAGCACATTACGCCACGCTCGAGTAAAAATGAGGATTAAATCTGCGGATTGAGTATGCAATTAATATTGATTGAACTTGTTCGGAGAGCAGAGGGGTGAGGTTTTCGAAGCATAAACTGTTTACAAAGATTAAGTTGATAAATTTGTCCTTGCCTGTATGTGTACTAGGTTGTCTGCCTTCTCGTGGGAGCGGTGGTGAATTGGTTACGTCTCTACCTTCCAATCGAAAGATCGGATGTTCGACGCACACCATGATCCGTGCTCGTTGCTTGAGGGTGAAGCAACCTTACCCAGCCCAGAAAACTAACCAAAAAAAATTGCATGAAGTTCTTAAACGGGCACAACAGCGGTTCGCCGTGATAAGCTGTACAGCTCGTGTGTTGGTACTTTCCCCCGTGAATAAATGGTCTTAATTTGCCAGCATTTGTTCTGATTTGTATCCGTTTCGAACACTCTGCTCAACAGATCCATGATTAAGCTCAAACAGCCTGGAAATAGATCTATTAGCTAGCTAGCTTTGAGCAACCAACACTTAAGTGCTTCAAGACCTTTCCTAAATCCTTGTTTCAAGAGCTTTCCTATCCTTGCTTCAAGAGCTTTCCTATCTTTGATAAATTTTGGATAAAAAACTACAAAGAAGGCGCAAAAGTGAATTAGAATTTTTGTGTGTGAACTTAGAATTTTAAAAAAAATCTTAGTTTTACAAAAAAAAATGTCAGAATTTGTAATCATTCAAGTTGTTCCAGTTTTCATAATTTTATAATATTTTTGATATCTTATTTTAGATATCAATTTTCTGTCATTCGACCCCACTGTCAAGATGACTTCTGACGGCGAATACAAGACAAATTAGTGGGAATTTCAGCAAATAACTTGAGGCGAGCAAGCCGATTTGATTTCACACGCGCCAGTGAGCAAAAAAATGAAAAATAATCATGATTGATTAAAAAGGATCACGGATCATTGTTTTGGAATATTCAGAAAAACCCAAACTAAAAAAACCGGATATTTTCTTCATTTCTCCAGCAGATTACAAAATAAAATCTACTTTTGAATTAAAAAACAACCACGTTTTTTTGCATCACTTCAATTTCTTTATTAGAGAGTAATTTCCCATTTTTTGCAATTTAAAAGAAATTTGACTTGACTTTAACCGATTTGAAACAATCTCAACTTTCGAAATTCAAAGAAAAAAATGATGGCCTCCTTAAAGCTCATTGAATTTCTAGGACAATTTGTGATTGACAATTTTTCGCAAAAAGTAACTCAATTTGAGAAAACTGGATCAACAGTAATTTTTTGTTTTGCTTAATCTTAGATTAAAAAATTTAGGTTAAATTCGACTGTCGAGACTTTATTTTTTGTCGATAGCCCAGTAAGCATTTCTTTCAAAAAATGAACTAAACTGAAAATTAAAACAAATCAAACATCAGATTGCGGAAAAAATTCAAGCCGAAATAAATTTTAAGATTTTAACTGAATAAGGAAAACGTCACGACCTACAAAAGAGACTGAACTAATTTCATCGACTCTTAATAACGGATCTACAATGTCCCATTTTTGATTTTTTTAAATAAAATTAACTTTGACTAGCCTTAATGAAAATTTGAAATAAATTCTAAGGTAAGTAAAATTGAGAACCTAACCGTTGGTAAATAATTGTAAAATCAAGACCATTGCAATGAAAAAAAATAATAAAGTTTTTATTGGCAAAAAAATTGAAAATATAAAGTAAAACGAAAGGAAAATTCACGCATAGAAAGAAAAGACATTTTTAAGTACTTCGAAAAGGGAGGGATTGTTTAGTAGATCAAACAAAACTAATAATAATTTAAAATTATTAACAGAGAGGTGAAAATTCAACTTTGCAAACATGAGCGAGAAAGCGAAAAAGATTCGGGAGCATTAAACAGCACGAAAACTCCAATTTTGCAAGTAATAATTTGGAATGCAGTTAAATAGAGGTAACCACCCTTATATTTACACAGAAGCAGAGCTGCGCTTCGCAAATAGTAGCGAGAACACGACCTATCGCAAAGCAGCTCTATCAATTGGAGAAAAACTAGAAATAAGCCTCAAATTTGCAAAAACTCGAATTAACAAAAATCTGCGACCTAGCAAGTGAGTCTCACGCACCAACCATTCAGCCACGGATGCTTGAAATCCCAAAAAACTAGCAGCCAATAACGCAGCAACATATGCTAATAAATTGCAAACCGATGCAGCAAAAATAGCACCAAATTCAAACAGATACAATATTGCATGTACTGAATTGCAAATTATAAAACCACATTATGTACAAATTATCCATTTCAAATAATTGCAAGATATATTGAGTTAGAAAACTTTTGAAACCGAAATTCACTTGATGAATTAAAGATGCATCAACTGTGTAAACTTATAACTATTCGAATGTCAAAGCACATGATATCAATAAGCTGTAAAGAAGCAACAAACAAACTATCATGCCACTTCGATGCAGCAAATATTGTTGCTTTAAGTCGAAACGATATTTGCAACTTAGTCGCATCACTATTTGCGACTTAGGTTGGAAAAAAATCGTACTATATCGTACCATAACACTTTGCTTCGCAAGTGCAAATACATAAGAACGTATTAAACCAAATTGCGAACAAATTATGCATTTCAAAAATCTCGCAAAGTATATTGAATTGTAAAATTTATTATTTGGTAGCATGAAACGATTAGAGTTCTCGATTCAATTAGAGAGTGAAAAACGCATCAACTGTGTTAACTAAAACTAAAATCTCTAAGCACATGGCTTCATAATGCTTATGGAGCCTGCTGCTTCAAAAAAGGCACGAAAAGTAGCATTTATTTGTGACTTACCTTGGAAAAAAAAAGTTGCATTGTACTATCACACTACGCTAAGCTTCTGTAAATATGCAACATGACATTATATTGCTAATGCAACCCACTGCTCAAAAATACCACGAAAAGTAGCTTTTTCATTTGCGGCTTAGGTCGTAAAAAAATTGCATTGTACTAGCACATTACGCCAGGCTCGAGTAAAAATGAGGTTAAATCTGCGGATTGAGTATGCAATTAATATTGATTGAACTTGTTCGGAGAGCAGAGGGGTGAGGTTTTCGAAGCATAAACTGTTTACAAAGATTTAGTTGATAAATTTGTCCTTGCCTGTATGTGTACTAGGTTGTCTGCCTTCTCGGGGGAGCGGTGGTGAAGTGGTTACGTCTCCGCCTCTCAATCGAAAGGTCGGATGTTCGAGGCCCACCATGATCCGTGCTTGAGGGTGAAGCAACATTACCCAGCTCAGAAAACTAACCAAAAAAAAATTGCATGTAGTTCTTAAACGGGCACAACAGCGGTTCGCCGTGATGAGCTTACAGCTCGTGTGGTGGTACTTTCCCCCGTAGATAAATGGTCTGAATTTGGCAGCATTTGTTCTGATTTGTATCCGTTTCGAACACTCTGCTCAACAGATCCATGATTAAGCTCAAGCTGCCTGGAAATAGATCTATTAGCTAGCTAGCTTTGAACAACCAACCCTTAAGTGCTTCAAGAGCTTTCCTAAATCCTTGTGATTTTAGGGGAAAAAACTGATATAATAATTTCGAATTCATACCACCAACCTTTGTATTGTCGAACACAGTGCGCCAAAGCTTCATTCCAATGCCAATTGAATTTAAAGAACAAAAATCAAGGAAAAATTCCATTGAGCAATAAATCAAAATTTCTAAATCTAAACATTTTCTAAACATAATACATTTTGTCCATGTATTCAAAGCACAACAGCACAAGTATCATCCAGGGTCAATGTGTAAAATCATCACAATAAATTTTGACATCTTCAATATTTTGCTACTTTCAAACAAATCGAGACTCAACCAGCTGTATTCATGTTGCCTTGGAACCAGATACAGGGCCTCGGAATACAAAAGTTAATTGGGGTTTGTGGTTCACCAAGCAAGACTTTCACTTCAGGATAAAGTCTATGGCAAAAAACTCACTGTACCCAAAAGGGGGCGTTAAATGATTCCATCAAGCAGTGATCAACTTCAGAATACTGAAACGAATCAAAGGAGGATCCATTGAAACAACTAAAAACAACTAACACAAATTACTGTGATCTAACAATATATAACGCAAAAACTGCACAATTGTTTCAGTTCAACAGAAAAATTATGATATCAAATAAACTAAATAACTGGAGGTACATTATGAAAATGACCCATACACAAACTTCCAACTTCAAGATTACTTCGTAATTGAGTTTCGGACTATTCCATCAACAATTTGGATTGTACAAAAGTTATCAAGCATGTTAATAATACCAGCTTATTGGATATTTTTTATTCCGCAGTGATGTGCTTTATCTAGCACCAACTTAAATTCTGTATCGAAGGGCGTTATTTGAGCTGCACTTGGAACATAACATTCAAAAAGTGAGCTTCAGAATCAACAATCAAGCCACTAGAAAAGAAAAATAGTCTTTTTATTGTCCCCTACCTCGCATGAGCGTCAAATTTATGAAGCAACCAGTGGTTTTACCACGTTAGTATGAAGACCGAATAAGTTTGTCATTGCCTATATCGTCCGCAAGTCAATTTTCATAACAATCGGATAATGCGAACGCTAAATTTATTTAAAAAAATTGCAGGTCCCAGGGAAGAAAAAAGAGCCGAAAATGGACGTGAAGATATAAACGCCCCACCGGGTATCCTAAACTGGGTAAAAATTTTGCCAGCGGAATCATCAAAAATAGATAAAGACATCTATAACCGGGTAAAAAATATGTTTAGTGGTATAATTGTAAAAAAAGTAGTATTAATTTTTGGAATACATAACTTTTCTGGATTCTTAGTTTTTTCATAAATTTTTCAAATATATGGGTAAGAAGTCTGCTATCAAAAAGACCACACGGCAGAAACAAGTCAAACTCATTCAGGATATAAAAATATGTTCATTTACACGTAATCACATTATATTGTTCATTCCAATTCCATTGTTTTTTTTTCGAATCAGGTTCATATTCACAAGTTCATTCATGACAAGTTGAATTCATTCATTATCGACATTTGATATATATTTATCGATCTTAGAATTACAATTCGGTAGTTTCGCACATGATTTTTTCTACTGTATAGCGAAAGCAACGACGCAATCGTACAGCCAGCTAGTAGTCACGTGGTACAGTCCAGGGAAAACTGGCTTGTATTTTTTATCTTCTTCCCCGTCGATGACAGTTCCAGTGACCACAAACACTCCCATATCACTGAGTGGTGAGTCTTCTGCCACAAATTCACGCTTGGGGCATCCACATGCTAGTGAAATTTCATTGCCAAACAACGAAGTCGGTTTAGGTTCCCGAGGAAGGATTTTTGCGCCACCTGAAGTTAGAATTTTATTCACCAGAGCAATTTCACAGCTTTGTCCAGCTTCAGATTTGAGCTCCGAGCCCAGAGTTGAACTCACGAATGCATGCAAACCAGAAAATAGTTTCTTGCTCTCATTGTGTGCTTTTCTGGCTCGCTTGATACTGTCCTCAAACAAACAAACACCACTTCGCTTTATGTGAAGTCTCGTATTTAAGCGATGCAACATAAAAAGTATCTAAAAACTTAAAAAATTCACGACTTAACGAAAAACTTAAAAAACTAAAAACAATCGACGGCAATTAATGCAATTTCAAAAAATAATTAATAAGCGGAAACTGAGCCGACGAAACTTAACTAATTTTCCAAAAAAGCGAAAACATATTTGTAAATATTTATAAATAATTTAACCCAATTTGAGAAAACTGGATCAATAGGTAAAATTTTCAAATCGCAGGGAAATCTGATTAAAAAAATTTCGAAACTAGTAGACGATCACGTTTTTCGTGACTATTACACTTTTGCTGTTCGATAGTGGAGTTTGTATTCCTTTCAACAAAGAAAATGAACTGAATTTCAAAAAAACCAGAAGTCTAACCGTGAAAAAGTCAGCTTAAGCCTGAACAAAATTTAGACTTCTCCTGAAAAAAGAGAAAAACAATTATCGCTACCTATATAAGACCCTGAACCAGGTTTATTGACTCTTAATAAATGTTCTCATATTATTTAACTCGTTCGCAATGCAGCTTCCCTAACATGTTACAACCTTAAATTTGTGCTCCAAATTGAAATTCAAACGGCGTTAAAAAATAGTCCAAACAACTATATGTTTTCATAACTTCAACCTGTCTCAATTCGCTGATCGCTCGTTCTAGACTGACCTTGTATGGTTGGAATGAGTCCACCAAATAGTCATCGCATGGAAGCAACTTTCCCTTGTTTAAACTGTCCTCTATCCATCCTTTATCAATCACCACTCCGTTGTTCACAATGGCAGTCATCAACTTGCTTGTCCTTTTATAGCTACCAGTCGACTTCTTTTCCACGACAAGCGCATCACATGAATCGCCAAAATAACGATCCACTTCTATTTCAAACTTGGTCGAAAACTGGTTCAGCAAAACTTGAGACTCCGCACTTAAAGCTGAGACGACTATATGCTTTATTACACATTTCATCGCTTTATCACTTTTAATCAATCTTTCATTGGTCTCTCGTAGCGCCTTTCTAATTGGTGTCAGAACTTCGTGATTAAATTGTATTCTGTCCGATTCTTTTGGTCGCAGGTATTTATTCCATTCTGTTTTGAGCAACTTCACCAACTCACCATTTCCATTCTCTTTCGCAAAAGACAGCGGGGTGAACAAATCTCCGTCGTCGTACTGAAGCCAATACAAAAAACATCAATCAATAAAATCTATTAAAATTGCAAACCGCAATGAGAATGACACGAAACCTAATTTATGTATACATCTCTCATCCATCATATAACTACTAGTCACTGGAAATTAATATTCATATGGCTCTAAAATTTAACGCCAATACCGTTTGGAGCACTGAAGGTGCGGAGGAACATAGGAGTCGGACATTTTTACATACAAATTTAGGTACCAATGTGAAGGACAAAAAAGGCCAGTCGTGACTAACCTGCAATAAAAACTCTTAAAATATTTTGATGGCGCCTTTAGTAAATTTTACGGTTGCTCGCCCAAAAATCGATATCGTACCAAAAGTCTACAGGACTTATAGGTGACCGACCAGGGAGTTTAAACCCTCAAACCCCCTTAAATCTGCTGCTGATGTTAACGTATTCGGAAAAATCGGTTTAAAAAATTGAGAGTAGGCTTTGAGCCACACAAGGAACTCTGTTTCACTGTCTGTGTTTATTTAAGGAAGTAGTTGAAAAAATTCGAGCTGCGACTCCTAAAATTGCTTTCAGGAAGCTGAGTTGGTATAAGAAACAAATATGCTGGCCTACCATGCCAGTTGCGAGTATGTCTGCCCCATGTTGAATGAGGAGTGGAATTGCATCTAAGTAATTGTACATGACGGCCACGTGCAAGGGCGTCATCTCGCTCATTCCTCCAGATTTCCGAGGGTCAGCTCCGTGTTCCAGGAGGACACGGCAAATTTCCACATTCTGAAGCAGAATTTCATCTTTGGTATCAGATAGAAAAATTTGGGCAGCATTTGGAACAATTAAAATGAAAAACGAGTGAAGTCAACTTTTAAAAAATTTGTTGTAATAAATTGTAAACGACAATTTGAGAGTTTTTGTCTAATTATTCGCCATGGTCCTGCTCCGCTCGCCCATCTTCGAACATTACTGATGAAACTTAAACGATATTATTTTGTAGAAACAATTATTTGTCCAGCTTTAGAACCAATTTGTCTCAATAAAAAGATAAAAACCACAGCTGTATAAAACAATTGACGAGGATCTGCCTGATGGCAGAGAGCAATGATAAAAAACGACATGGCATTATTTAACAATTAAAGAAACTTCTTTAGCGTGAGTATAGTCGGAACCTTCTGTGCTACTCGCACAACAGCCAGCTCTTCTTGTATTCAATTTTAAATTCTAATATTATAGCCTCTGACCTCTAATGCTTTGTATTCGTGTAGGGGAGTGAAATTGTCGTTATCCATCGTGTTCGGGTCAGCGCCCATTTTCAGCAGCTCCTTCACCTTCTCCAGATGACCCCTTCTACTCTCCCTGTGCAATCTGGTCTCCCCTCTATGATCTCTTACCCGCACTCTTTTGATCACATGTTCACTCACACTCACCTCTAATCCCTCCAGAAAGTTCTAAACACACAGACAAAACAAAATAGGTTTCTGCACAAGAACGCTGAACGCTCCAACTGCACTAAATGAAAAAAACCAAAGAAAGAAACAAATAAAAAGCAATTATCTGTTTTTTTTTTTTTAGATATAAGTTCGATTTAAGTGAAAAAACCAAAACTTTGATTTAGAATCCAAATCGAAACATTTTTTTTAAATCTAAGTAATCTAAGATGAACATAGCCAACAGACAGTTGGAAAACTGTCATGAACTTAAGACCAAAAAAACTATTGACATTGAAAACTTCTGTTGCATTTAACTTTGGATCTCAGAGAATTTCATGAAGCTTCTATGATGGACATTTTTGATGAAAATAACCTAAATCCAGAAAATCAGACACGTACGAATTTTTAAAAATCCTGTGGGAAATCTGGAAACTAAAATCCTCTTGGAATTTAAAAGTCAATCACTTTTTTCGCTCAATTTGCGATTCAAATTCGTTATAGGTGAGCGATACTTAGATTCAGTTTATACCGGACCAAAGAATTTTTATGATGCAGCAATAAAATCATGACATACCTAGCTTATTCACACTACGTTCCTTATTTGGACAGTTATAAAAATTTACAAGGGCCAAAAAAACTAACTGCATCTCTAGCAGAAATTGAACTGCACAGATTATTTAATATATCTTTAGCTGCAGCCAGGGGCAGATTTAGGGGGGGGGGCGGCAGGGGTCAAGTCCCTGATAAAGGAGGAGTCCGATCCCCCACCCCTCTAAATCTGCTAGTGGTCAGAATATCGATTTGACTGGAGTCAAGAACACGACCATTTATCCGCGCAGAAAAGATCATCATACGAATCTATGCTAATAAATGGTGTTGTGTTCCTGGTTAAAAACAGCATGATTTTTTTGAAACTAAATCTAACCAATCCAATGATAGCGGCCAGCTGCTCTTGACTTGGCTCAGGTGTGTTGTTCATTCGTTCCATTCCTTGCATCATGTTATAGTTCTCATGGAAGTAACATTTTGCACTTTCTGCGTCGCAGTCATACTAAAAGTAACACTTAACTAAATATATTTGTTTTTAATCGTAAATTAATAAATTCGGTCACAAATTGAGCACCTTTACAATTTTTTTAAAAAAAATTTAGAATCGGTAAATTTCAAAAATAAATTTAGTATCAGGGTTGGATCAGACAAAAATTATTGCCTCCCCTACCAGTCGCTTTTCCTTATGGTCCCCCAGTCTATTAAATAAAACAAAAGTTGAAAAAAATTGAAGTGCGAATGAACTCAAATATACCAAGAAACTTTGTTTGGCAATTTTTAACTTTCGAATTTCAAAAAGAAAATTATATGATTTTTAAACTCTTGATTTTTATGTCTGACATTTGTTGATAAAATTAGTGAATGTTCGGCTATAGACAATGTTATTTACTCCTGCGAATTCTATAAATTAAAGTCTAAATTATTTCCGTAGACAGCGCATATCACAGATATCATATTTTTTTTTTTCCTCGACTACGATAAAATAAAGGTGGTTTTTCTCGCAAAATTATTAAGAATTTCCTACAGCCATCATGAGCATTTCGAGTTGCTCAGCCGTAGGCCCCTGCTGCTGATCCATAGAACCACCTTCATCGAAACCCAAATCAGGATTCAGGGATTCGACCCCCTGCCGACCCAAAGGGTCCCCCTTTTATACTTTTTCAGAAATCCATTTTTTGCCGACCGACCCTAAAATTTTTCTAAAGGCGCCTTTGGCTTTGGCGCCAATATATACTAACTTTGATTTTTTTTTGAAATCCCCCCCCCCCCTCCCCCCCTCGAGAAAATCCTAGATCCGCCCCTGGCTGCAGCTCAAAATTTAGCATAGGAAAAATCACAGCATTTTCTACCGAATAAAAAACAATGCTAAGAAGAATAATTGCAACACGATAAATCTATCCTAATGAAGAATCTATTTGACACAAATTCGACGCACAAGATATGTTTAGTTAGTAGTTTTCATTTGTATCATTTCATATTTTGTTTTGTTGTTCATGCATTTTTTGATGTTCACACTCCAGCGCAGCTGATGAAAATCACAATTTTGTTCAGTCGCAACACAACCCATACTGGAGGGCCTCATCTGTCTTTTATTTAGACACATCATTGACTCATGTTCCTGGCTTTCTGTTTGAAGAACTGCCCATGCATTAACAATGCCAGTCAACTACCGCTTAATTTCGATTCTACCCGGATTTTCTAAGATTTTTGAAAGAATTTTGTGGAATTTATTCATGATAAAGTATGCGATAAACCTAACAGCAAAGAGCATGCTTTTACTAAATGACATTCTTGCATTACGCGAACCCATGCTGGGCTTTCTTGATAAAAGCTATTCGAACTTCGGCGATAATATGGATGACTTGGTTTCCTATCTTGGCTTTTAAAAAGCATTTGACTCCGTTTCACAATTTTTTGTCCCGACGTTTTAGTTTTTTCTTTTTCTTTTCCACGCAAAATTAGCTTCCACAAAAAATCATCGAAAGGCTTGAGAAAAATATCATATTAAAATCCTTACAGTCGTGATTCGAACCACAATTAAAACCCACAAAAAAAGTTTCCAGTGTCGAGAAAAACCGGTTTGATTTTTTTGTCTTATTTAGAGCGAACAGAGCGAGCAAGCAGTCTTTTTTTAATTGTTAAAAAGCTTACCATAGCTTAATTTGAAACGTAAAAACTTAGTTTTACTTGCGTAAAAAAAGTTAATTTTGAGTAATCTAGCGCTTTTTGGAATCAAAGTTTCGAAAAAAACTGCAAAAAACTTTTCGAACTTTTTCTTCATTTTTGGTAAAAATTTTTCACCAAAAATTGTTTTTCAACTTGCTTATTGTACTATGCCGGTTGAATTTACCTACTACCCAAATTTTTGTTCAGTTTCTTTCAACAAAAAACGCCAAAAAACGACAAACAAATGAAAAAACTTGGTATTTACTAAGGATTATGGTCGGAACAATTTGTGCTACTTGCACAGTAACCGACTATCCTTGCTACTTTTTGAAAATGTTCTTTGGCCGGAATTGAGAACATTTTATCGAAAATATTCAAACCGTACTTGACGGATCGTACACCGCGAGTTGACACTAATGGAGCACACATTTCAGCTACGGTCAAATAATTTTCAGATACGGTCAAATGCGCATTCTTAAAAAACTTTAACACGGAGCACTTTTTCATTCCATGGCAGATTTGAACGGACAATTTCTAGTAAATGGCGAAAATCGAGGAAAAATCTCATTATTTGAGATTATGTGTGAAGATGCAGATGTTTGGCAGCTTCTTGGGGATTCTCCCAAAAGCTCTCGATGGCAAAGGAGGTAGCGTGCACCCGGCATTTAAAGAGATGTTCGGTGGTGTGTGGTCCTATGTAACAACTTGGGCAGACGTCGAGTACATTGTTGCTCACTGTGATGGTAATTTTTTAAATGAATCGAGTGCCCGGATCTAAGTTGTGAGAGCATACATCTGGTTCTACGAAAAGCAAGTGTTCAATTTCGAATATGAACTGATGTTCCAGTGTGGATCTGATGTTCCGGTTAAACCTTTATGGTTGAGTATGATAGTCGACTCTATGATCTTGGTAGCAGTCGAAAAGAAATTGCTTTGAAAGCATTCTTTGTTTTTCCGGACCGGATTTATTTTTGTTTCGTCATGTACCTGTGTAATGTCACTCATTCGTAAGCACCCTGCTGTTGTTCTTAGCTCATTGTTGTTTATTTTGAAAGCGCTGCCAATTGGTGTACCTTAGAGTGGGGTCCAAAAGGAAAATTCATAGTTCAAGACACTCCTCCCAATTGTCTTTGCATTGAGTGTTTCTTTGGAGCAACCCCAGGTTGAGCCAAGAAGTTTTATGAGACCATTGTTTCTTCTTTTGGAGTTTCTTGCAGCTCTTATGGCAATGTTCGTTGAAGTTCAGTAAGCTGACAAAAGTACCTCTTAAAAATTTTGGGCTGCGTGTTAACGGTAGTTAGGTGCCAACGACCATTACATTTGGTTCAAGGGAAACCGATTAGTACATGTTGAAAAGGTAGATGTGGTTGCTTTGTCTTTTGATAGAGAATGATTTCTGATCTTCAGCCAGTCGTTGAGACTGTTTGGATAGGTGTTCTAATTTGGGTGGGGGTGGGTGGTGCTGCTGGACAGGCACCAACAGTTTAATCTCTTGTCAAGCGCTTATCTGGCATGCCAGCAGAAAAACTAGATTCGCTAAGACACATCACAACCAGGCTTAAGAGGAGCTTCGTAAAATACAAATATCCCCTCAGAGTAGTCTTTATGCCATTGAATAGGTTCTTTATGTCATAGAAATCTCAAAATCAATCATACACAGTCCAACAACAGAAACCATATATCAATTGGAAGACTACGCAAATATTGGTGATTTTTCGTAACTGAACTGAAAATTATTTTTCTTATCCGGTTCAAACTGAAAGATCACTGAATTAGCTGGTGAAACATGACCTTTAGTCATTGGTTCGAACAACTTTGTGCGCGTGATTTACCATATATATTTGATCTGAATTACTACTGGAACTATCACTCAAATCGAATTAATTTACTCCTTAATAATCATCAGTTTGTTGTTGCAATAACCTTGATAGCAAACTCTATCATGACACATCTCGCTTTCGATTTTCTATAAATTTCTTCTTAATTGTTTTTTCTCAAATTTATATCTGGTTCAATTTTAGTTTCTTTTTCTCTCTTTGCAAATTTATTTCTACGAAAAAACTATTTTGTGTTTTCCGGGTGAACGGGTAATGAAGTAAAATATTTGCGGAAAAAGCAAACGTGCGCTTTAAAAATTATACTAAGGGCCCTTCTGTTAAGGTACGATGAGTGCAAAACTTGGATAGGGCCACATCAGCCTCAAGTCAGATATTAGCACTAAACACAGTTAATATTGCAATTGATTTTAACCGTCGCTCCTCTACTATTGTAGTTATACAGATGTCAATAATCTTGTCTAGAGCAATGATCTGCACCCCCTTATTCATAGAACTGCACCTCAAAAGAGTACACAGCTTATACTTTGGCATTTTGGGAGCAAAGTACATCAAAAACAGAAAGATCGTCTGAAGAAAAAGATAGCACAAGAAAACTCAAACAACTTACCTCTTTCGTCGGTAATTTGATCTTAGTGTGATTTCTTTTCTTCGGCTTATTATTTGTATTGCCATTCTTTCTTCGATCATTCTCATCTGACATATTAATTGAAGAGCATTTTTTAGGCTGATCATTCTCTTTCGGCATAATGTTTGCAGAGCATTTAGAAGTCCGTCCAAACTCTTTCACTGTATTATTATGATCTCCCTTCTTCGTCCAACCATTTTGTTTCGGCTTATGACTTTTAGTTTTTTTATCTCTTCTCAAATTAGATGACGTAATACTCATTTTCCCATTTGATAGTTTTTCGTCAAATGAGCTTCTATCATGTCTAATCTTCTTGCTAGATGAGCTTTTGACTTCTCCAATTGTATAAATGTCATGTAGTGACGACGCAAAACCGAGTGTTTTACCACCCGTGGATACTGATGAAACCGTGGAACTGTTAATCGTCATCGATGAATCACGCGTATCATAAGCTCTATCAGGTGTATCGTAAGCTTTAATGTGATTCATTATCTAGTCACTAAAATGTTAAGAAACTAGTGTCAGCTTCTTATTTAATAAGTAAAAACTGACAGGGTAAAAAATTTTACATCATGTGTCCTTTATCAAGTTGTCCCTTCAAAATATACCTCATAGTTTCAGAGATTGTGAATATATAAAAATGGGAATATATGAACATGAAAAATTGCGTGATGCAATGAATTGCAGTTGAGATCGAAAATTATTGTTGCTTCTTCCCACACTGATGAGAAGCTGCATTTCGCAAACAGGCGAGGAAAGTTAAATTAAGTCAAAACTTATTTACAAATTGAGCTGATTCGATGAGCTGCAGTTGGGATACAAAATTTTTGTTGCTTTTCCGGACACTGAGGAAAATCTGTATTTTTCAAACAGGCGAGGTATTTTGGAAAACTACAATTCTTATTTACTTGACTTTTTTGAAACACAAAAGGTAAATTAGGTACAAAAAACTGGATGACACTTTGTTTCAAAAACTCCAATCCTGATGACGCACAAAATGTGCAAAAACATTCAAATTAAAATTTTAAGAATTTGATTATTCAAAAACTTATGTATAATTAGACTAGGAGCCAGAATACAACTCGAGTCCCGCAACCTCGCATTTGCCACCAGGTTCATTGACAAAACTGTAACACAATCTAATCGGGCGAAGCCGAGCTATACTAGAAAAAGGTTACCTACTGAAGTAAAAAGGTTCACTGCTTACCAGGATAAGTTTGTATCGCAATGGTTGAATGTCATACCGTGAATAAATCTAAGATTGAATGTTTCAAATCAGCAGCTTAGAATCGCAATTAAACTCCGCCCGAAAAGATGTAAGCGAAGATGGATGTCATGGCCTATCTTGCCTCAAAAGTGCAGGGAGATTATCTAGGCATTCAAATTTGAATGCACTTTTAAAGCTAAGTCTTTACTCCATCAAGATTTCTTTTGAAACCGCGACACACCCACAGGACAGATCAGAAGCGACAAGACGGTTTGACGCTCATCCAACGGACTGTTCGTAGGCAGCTTTTGTGGGTGTAACGGTAGCTGACTCCTAATCCCCTAGTAAAAGAGCGCATACTCGCTTTGTAACCCAGGAACGGCCGCGTTGGAAGATCAAAAATCTGAGAAATACAGAGATTTAATTATTGGTGGATATGTTTTTCAACCGGTAGCTCTTAAAGTTTTGGGTGCGGCTTGCCATAGCACCGAGAATTTTTCAGAATAAGCTTTGTGAAACCTTGAGCACGCGTACCGACAAACCCAGAGCGAAAAATTTTCTTAAGCAGAGAATCTCCCTCGCTGTGTACTTGCACTCTTAATGATAAAACATCTTAGAAGGGAGAAAGTTTTAATTTTTAGAGCCAAAAGAAGAAAAACACAGCTTTTTATGATTATATGATTGTTCCGTAGCCTCATATCAGCTCGGTCTTTCGAGGAGTTTCCCAATCTAGTTTAATCTGTGCAGGTACTAGTTTTCTCAATCTGGTTGGTTTGGTCCAGAACCATCTGACTCTCTTTACTTCTACCAACATCATACTTACTCTTCCATGTCTAGAAAGTTCCTAGGATTTTGACTGGATAACGTGATGAAGAGACTTCTGAAGTGACCAACAACAAGGATTACATGCAGTTATCAAGGAACAAAGACTAAATGATTCAACTTGGCATCATACCTCTGTCACGCTCTCATGAACTAGTCTTCCATCTCTACTAAAGACAGAACGGTATAGGGGAAACAGACCCCAATGGCAAAACAGACCTGTATAGGGAAATATTATTTCATTTAAAAAAAAAACTACAAACAAGACATTCGAGCTTGCAGAAATATGAAAGCACTAATTTCAGACTTCAACATTAGATCATTTCAACGTCAGTCTACCATGAATAGGAAAACAGACCTCTAGTGGGATAAAAAAAACTATTTCAATCGAAGAAAAAGGACAAACAAGACATTCGAGCTTGACTTCAACTTAAGATCATACTGCTGTCACCTTATCTGTAACTACATATTCCTCTGCTACTGCAAAACGAACCTTGTAGCGCGCAATGATGATTTTAATTTTTAAAAAAAGGACAAAAAAGACATTCGAGCTTATAAAAACAAGGGAGCACCGAATTTAGACTTCAAATTAAGATCATACCGCTGTCATTTTATGATAAATGGAAAAAAGAGATTTGTTGTGGTAAGAAAATTATTTCAATTAGGAAAAAGGACAAACAAGACATTCGACAATCAAGCTTGACTTCAATTCAAAATCATACCGTTATCTCTTTATCATGAACTACAGATTCCACTTGTACTGCAAAACTAGAGTTATTATGATTTCAATACTTTAATTTTATTCATCGAACTACCGAATGGAGTCGGTATTGCACGTTTATTTCGCAAAAGCTGACTTTCAGAAGTTAAAAACACAACAACCGAATTTACAACTGCTAGAAAGACCGCAAAACTTGCTCTAGCTCAGTAGCTATTCGCAAATGACCCACCTTGACATAAAACAGGAGAGTCGAGTTGTCTTGTGGCGTTGAAGAGCAACAAGAGTGGCTCCAGGAAGCATTTCTGAAGAGCAAGCAAGTTCTATAGTCACCAGTATAGCTAGACGAGGTACCTTACCAGTGCACTGATCTTGTCGACCAAATTTCATTCGAACTTTACAAAAAAAATTTTTAAATTTTTTTTTTATGCATCATGGAGAATCAAATTTTTGGTAATATCTTTGGAACGACCAGAGATCAGGAAAAATTGACAAGCAATTAGGTTGTAAATGATCAAAGAATACCTTGCCAATCAGGATTATACAACAAAAGTTAAACAAGAAATTTCGTAACCTTTTAAACAAAAATTCCTCTAAACATCTAAGAATTTTTGTTTTTTGTTCTTTTATTGTTATCCTGTAAAGGGAGAGTAATTTTTCTTTTAAAGAAACAGGACAAAGAAGACATTCGAGCTTGACGAAATATGAAAATACCAAATTCAGACTTAAGCTTAAGATCATACCGCTGTCACTTTATCATGAACTACATATTCCACTTTCACTGCAAAACAGACCAGTAATGGGAAAGTAATACTTCAAATAGAGAAAAAAAACATGACCTCCGAATTTATAGAAATATGAAAGCAACAAACTCAGACTTCAACTCAAGATCATACAGCTGTCACTTGATCATGAATGACAAAACAGACCTGCAGTGCGAAAAGGTTATTTCATTTAGAGAAGCAGGATGAACAAGACACTTGAGCTTGACTTCAACTTAGAACCCTACCGCTGTCACCTGATCATGAATTACGGAAACAATATCCGGTGCAAAAGTAGGTTAATTATTTTGACACATGAATTTTAATTTTTGAGTTTTTGAATTAAGTCGTTCATGCACAATTATCTCGCAATAACTGAAAAACAGAAGTCAAAAAACACAACAACTGATTACATTTGCAAGAAAAACGGGAAAAACTGTTCTAGTTCAATTAGTATTCACAATTGACCAGCCTGGAGATAAAACACGAGAGGAGAGTTGTCTGGTGGCATTTAAGAGCAACAAGAGTGGCTCCGGAAAGCAGTCCTTAATGGCACGGAATTTTTGTAGTAAATAGTATAACTAGACAGGGTACCTTTCCATTGCACAGTTCAATTTCTATCCGAACAGTACAAAAAGTCTTTATAAAAATTATAAATGTTAAGTGAAACTTTCTTTTTTGAAAGTTTTGTTAACTTTTTGTTGGATGTTTGGGTTAAAAAAATTTTAAAGTTTGTTTTTCAACAAAAATCGAAATTTTTACCATCGACCAAAATCTCCAGATTGACCAAAAACTGATAAAATTGAGAACCAAATCTGTTGTAATATGCTCAAAAATTTCCTGACCAATCAAGATTATACAACTGTAATTGAATAAGAAGTTACTTAACCTTTAATAACGTTTTCCCGTAAAAATTTTGAAAGTTTTTTGTTCTTTAATTATTACTAGCGTTTAACGCACCTCCGGTGCTTCGAAAAACCGCAGGTATTGGAAACAACATCTGCAAACTTTTACTGTACTCTGACTGCACCCAATTACAGGGTTGAAAAATTCAAACCTTTTAAATTTTTTACTTCCCATTTTAAAAGCGTCACCTTGAAAATTTTTTGGGCCTCTGGGGAATTTTGAAGGCCAGATTTGCAACCACTGAGAGTCCACGAGAGCACCCTACTAAAGGGTTAGGAATTCAAAATTTTGCAAATTTTTTTAACCTAAGTTTCCCGAAAAAAAAATGAAATAATAACACCTTATCTCGGAAACTAAAGGATTTGAGCATTCACATAGAGAGGCAAGATTTGAGACGCCAGAGTGTACGCTGACATTAAGGTTTTTTTTTTCATTGACTTGGTAGTTTCAAAATTTTTGAATTTCTTTGTAGATAAGCTCTCTGAGAAATTTTGAAAAAAATCAAAATGCGTCACATCTCGGATACTAAAAGCAATTGAGCAGTCGCGTTTAGCAGTCGCAAGTGGCAAGGTTTGCAACTCTTTATAGCACCCTGACAACACCGAATTATAGCGTTTGGAATTTCAAAATTTGAAAAATAATTAAATTAAACTTTCTGAAAACTTTGAAGAAATCACAAAAAACTTCGTATCTCGAAAACTACACGAAATTGAGCAGTCAAACTTGGATGCAAGATTTGCAATCTTTGAGAGAACTCTGACAGGACCTAACTACAAAGTTGGGAATTTCAAATTTTGAGAAATATTCAATTAAAATTTTCTGAAAATTTTTGAAAGAAATCACAAAAAACGTCATATCTCGAAAACTACAAAGAATTAAGCAATCATAGTTGGAGGCAATATTCGCAATCTATAAGAGTACTCTGACAGGACCCAACTACAGGATTGAGAATTTCAGATTTTGCAAAAAAAAATTCATATGAGTTTTCTGAAGTTTTTTGAAAAAATCACAAAAAACGTCATATCTCGTTAAGTAAATGATTCGTGCATTCAAACCTGGAGGCCAAATTTGCAGCCCCTAAT